TTAAGTTTGAAGTGACGATTCATCGCAGATCTGTAATGAGACATTAACTCTGATCGCTCACATGAAAGACCAATGTTCTACATGCCCACCCACCACAACAATCTCAAAACACCCTCACGTCCCATCCCCTCTACCCACCTCCCCACCCTTACCATTGGCTTTAGGCCTAAATTATGATCCGTAGTATCGTCAGTGTGGATGTAAAGGACAAAGGACGCCGGCCTGCACAAACCACACATGCCATTGTCCATCAAAAACCAAATTGTCCAAATCATCCTCCATCAGTAATTTGCTCTTTGATGAAAGTCTAAAATATAAATGTTAAAGAGTAGAATGAGGGAAAAATGAGAGGAAACGCTGAGAGGAAAAAGACAGAGAAAAGAAGCTGTCTTGTGGAGATTGCAGCTTATGTCTACGGGCAGGTCTGAGTGATGTGAAGTGATTTGGAAAATGTTGCAGCGTGTAAAGCCCTCATCTCCAGGACTTAAATTTATTCTCATCGGGTTCTCCCTCATTGAGCACAGCATTACAGAGGAGTAATCTTTCCTTCTCACTATACCGGTGTCTTGCTTGAAAGCCCAGTCCTCTCATTCCCTCTCTTCTTCCTGTCTTTCCTTTTTGCTTTTGCCTATCATTTGCTCGTGACCGCTTAATTTTGCTGTTTCTGTTCTTGTATTCTTGTTCATTTATTCTTTGTATTTATTTGCTTATTTTATCTTCTTTCTTGTTAAACCTATGAGGAAAAACACTAACACAAACTATTTAGAGCACCATTTAGAGGCTCACCAAGACCCTGCCTATACCACCTTACTGACAGGCTTCCATAAGATAATTACTACAATCAGAATGTTATTATTACGTCACTGTATTGTCATCTATTCAGGGAAGTGTGTTGTGTGTTAAATGTTTCAAAGGTGAAAGGTTGTCAAGAGCAGTTGAACTGATTCTACATTAGATAATCAACACTTAATGTCTTTGTAGAGCTTTTGCCTACAATAGAGGGTGGCAGCAAGGCTTTAAACTACTTTGCATCTGAGATGTTAGACGCAGTTAAGTGCAGTTGACCTTAGCCTAGACCTTGTGTGGGTATCCAATAGAATGCAGAATATTACATCTAGCATTGCATGAGGTATTATTTTGCTGTAACATCTGGCAAGGTTTGGGCAACCGCTTGCTGCCCCTGCTGGCAGTCAGCTAGCAAACTTGTTAGTTTAGCTCAGTCGCTAATAGGGGCAGAAAGTTAACACAGTTTATGCAAAAGGCATATGTGCACCATCGACTACCATCTCACAGCTGTCTGCAAACCATTGCTTCTTTATGGACCAGTTTTTACTCAACTGTATATATAAGCACACAATACACAGCATTCGAAGTAATAACACAGGGATTACTGATAGCAGAAATATGCACTTACTAAGACATCATTCTGCATTATTAGGCTCGAACAGAAACATGCAAAGCTGACAATACACGGACATAAAACAGCTTCACATAAAGTTCATAAAACACATAAATCACTCTAGTACAATAAAAGCAAGGCCACAATAAAAGACAAGGGCCGTGGTTCATAATGATATTCACTTGTTTCCCATAGACAATGAACAGGGACAAAATTCTCCTTATGCCTCACTGTGTTCAGTCCTCACTGTGATGTTCTGCTTCTGCCTAAAATGTCTCCACCATCGATTACTTCTCTCTGCTATTCATGGCTGCAAACACACATGGTTATGTGCAAGTTTAAAGGATCAGAATCAGAGGATGTTTTGAGTCACAACACTGTTCAAACCACAGAGCTCCTATTTTACTGGGCGTAAGCTTTCTCATCCACTAACTCTGTGTTTTATCCCCCACCCCAGAAACCCCACTGCAACTCCTCTACTCACCCTCCTCATCCTTCTCTTTCTCCAAATCCCCCCCTATATCCCACGTAGGTAAGTAGAGCTCTGCTGTAGGCTTAATGAGCTGAGGAAGGGGCCCTGCTGGAGAAGACCAGCGTGATCACCGCTACCTCTGTTCCCATTTAGGGCCAGGTTTCGCTTCACAGGACACACACAGAGAGATACAGACTGGGGGGAAAAGAGAGGGAAGGGAGAGGAGGGGAGCGGAGAGAGGGAGAAAGAGATGGAGATAATAGAGCAACAGAAAACAGAGAGGGAGTGATTTTAACAATGGCAGAGTAATACCATCCACCTGCTGCCTTGCTCATCTGTTTCTTCTTTCTCTCTCTCCCTTCATCTCCACAACTTCATCATAATTCATCCCCATCTCTCTCTCTCTCAGCAACCCCACCACAATCACTGTATCTCTGTTTTCTTATGTGGCTCTTCAGGATTGGACAAGCTTCATTACCCCCTCTTTGATGTATTTCTTTCTTTTTCCTTTTTTTCCCTCTGCCCTCTCCATTTTCCCCAGCCAGTTTCAGCTCCCAGGTTCGTGGCACTAGAAATTCTATCTCCCTGTGAGAGCTATGTTGTTTTTGATGTTTTATCCTATTTGTTGTGTGTGTGATTTATATTTCTTTGCCTTTCTTTGTTATCAACACTGTTGCAAAAGCTCCCCATTCATTAATTAGGTCAAGTTCAATCATGCCTTTATCCTATCTTTCCTTGTTTACGAATGTGTGGCTGACAAGATACATGCTGATGACTGCCTGATTGGCTAAATGTCTACATACCTGGCTAAGTTATTGGTTGCTAAGTTGATTGGCTCAACTGGACAATTTGCTAGTTGGACATCTGTCTGAGTGGCTGACTGGATAAATGTCTGATTAACTGACAAGCGACCATTCCATTCCTGCCCTTGGTGCATTCTTCAAGGTGCACCCTCTTACTGAAACACGACATATTGGTGAGTTTTGCATCTGCTGTCCATGTTCAGCAATGCACACAACCCATAGCTCAAATATCAAGACAGACGTAGCCTGCGTGACTTTTGTGCATGTCCGTTTACGGCAAGTATACGCTCACCCACTTGTCATGAAGACGGTATAGAGAGCTATAGAGACCAAAACAGTTTTTGTACCAGGCTGTAAACCTGTTTTTCTGCTGTAAAGTTAACATGAGAGTCTATGGAGATTGACTCACTTTTGCAGCAGCCTCAAGTGACCTTTCGAGGAACTGCAGTTTCTGGCACTTCGATGTTGACCTGCTAGCAGCTCCCTGAAGCTGTATTTATGCTAAATGCTAACATACTGATGTTTAGGAGGTATAATGTTTACAGCGATTACCATCTTAGTTTAGCATATTAGCATGCTAACGTCTCCTAATTAGCACTAAACATTTGTGATAAATACCAAGTACAACTATTGGACAAAATTCAAATTTAACATGGCAGCTGTAAGAAAAGTCACAAGAGTCATTGGGATACATCATCTATTCAACATTCTGAGCCAATCCATCCTCTAGATGTTGAGATATTTCACTGGATAAGTGAAAACTTTGATCTACCTAAGTAAAGCAATCTGCAAACATCATTGTCAGCAGTTTGTTTCATTGGTGCAAGTTTCTACTTAAGAAAAAAGTCCCTGTGAAAACTGTGGATAATGAGATCTCTGGAGTTACCTGGACACTGTTTCTGGAGAGAGATGCAGCTGTTAAAGTGATTTAAATGTATTTTCTCTGCGTTTTGATTTGTTGCTGCTACGCCCATCACTGAGAAATGGGGGCGGCCTCATATCCTTAAACACTGTTTATAATATAATCACAGCAACAGCAGGAGGCCTGAAATATAATTTTCTCGTGGAAAAGTCGGTCCACCCAGATGTAAAATTCACTTTCTCATTGTGTTTGCGTTGTCAGACCTTTTGTAAAAGTTGGTTGCATGAACCAAAACACCTGCAGGCATTCAAGTTTAGCTGGGATTTTAGCTGTCGTCGCTTGGATTGATCATGTTTTGCAAAAATATGAATAATAATATACCCCCTATTTTAAAAGCTTATGTATGAATATAGGAATGTCAGAAGTGGTTATTCATGTAGAAAATTAAGCAGAAGAACTCAGATATTGTATTTCATATTGACTTTATTTCTAAGTAATACCAGCTTTACAAATACAGTGCTTTGTCCAAGTCTTGTAATGTACAGTTTGCACAAAATTTCTCAATACATTCATTCTTCAAGTAGTACTTTATTATACATTCATAACTAAATGTTATATTTGTTCATTTATATAATCTTTCTTCATAAAAGCATATTTTACGTCACAAAGAATGACCCAGTGATCTAATCTAGATCAACAGTTAATTGCAAAAAAAGGTTATGCAAGTATCTAAATTTACAACCCCAAGACCAGGAGAGTAACGAGACATAAAACACTTAAAACCGCTCACCTATCTGCCCTGCCAGCTACGCTAAACATACACAGTCCAACCAGCCTGAGACCCTGTAAAAATAGGCGACAACTCCCAAGAAAAACAAATATCGTTGAGCCTTTGCATCAGCACACTATAACCACACTGAGGGTTTTGTTTTCCTTCACAAGTGCAGCAGGAGTGCAGCTCCGAGACCAGTTTCTCTGTTCAGGTCATTATGAAAGGAGATGGCCAGGGGCACTTTCTTAATGATCTTACATCAGCACTTCTGATCTTGATAAATGCAGGCCATTATAACCCCACAAGTGATGGTTACAAAATTTGCTGCTGTAATAAAGTGCAAGGAGTCTTTAAAATTTCTTGTTACAACTCGCAGGTGGCAGACAGAATTTGATAGCAATCAATAAATTGATTTTGATTTTTTTTTTTCCAATATTGACCAACCCAGTTGGGCTCATGAAAATAATATAACATCATCCTTCATACTTACTATGATATGCATTAAACAAATGCGCCATGCTTAACTAAAAATCTCCCAGTGGCCTTTGCGGTCATGAGTTTTAGTTGGTTAACTCAAATGTACCTTTAGACGCCCTCAATCACTGATAATAGAGATTATACAGTGATCCATTTGGGGTATCATCATGGTACATCAGCAAATCTTGTCAGGGTTCTTCTCTTTCAGAGAAGCTTCACGGAAGATTCCTCTGGCAGTATGTGAAGCTCCACCGGCGATCACTGTCAACGAGAAACCAATTACATTTACAAACTGGTAATTCTATGTATACTTGGTAAGAATGACTGTTAAAAAAAGGTTGCCATGTTTGGATACGGCGAATGGCTGCGATAAACTGAGAGGAATGTACTCACCGTGTTTGACTATCAAAAGAGCTTTTCACTCCTGTCAGGTAGTTGCTGCTGGCGACTGGCCAGTTGAAGTACTCCTGCCAGTAGTTGACCTGTGGTTCGTCTTTGCAGTTGATCATGGTAAAACCAGGAGCACTGCAGCAGTAGAACTTCCATCTGGGATACAAGAACAAGGTGTTCATTTACATTAGCTATCAATTAATTTCATATAGAAATATATAGAAAACAACTGAACCGTTTTACTCAAGCTGCACTTTATGATTTACCATTTTATGTACCTTTTGTCTTTACTGTAAAGGTAAAAAACAAATGACCATAAACAAATATTCACCTCCTGTCCCCCATGATGGAGTTGTACTCGCTGTAGACCCCAGCAATCACTTCATTGTTTGCACATTTGAAGTCCATGTGTCCCCAATATTCGTTCACATATCTTGACCATTGGCATGTCCTGGTTACCTTGAAAGCCTTGCACGAAATCCCCCAAAGGCGATCATTTCTGTCGTTATTGTGGGAGCTACAACAAACCAGCAAGTTTGAAAACTTAGTTTTGAATAGATAGAATAATAACTATAAGAATGAAATTGTAGCTAATATGTGTTTTTATTATTTTGTTTTCATAGAAAGACAAAGACCATAAACCCATAAACTACAGAAAACCCACCTTCTGATGGCGGAAACAGCTTGGCCAGAGGGGCACTGGCGGCTCAAAACACCACCCAACTCATTGTCCCACTCGCCATTCTTATGCAGGTAGTTCCCTGTAAGAACAAGTTAGTTAACAGTGAGTTTCACTGAAAGCTCTTAGACCAGAAAAGGACTTACAAACTTGCAAAGTTACAAAATGCAAAGTTGACCTTAAATGCTTTATTATTATACTTACTGCAGCTGTAAAGCTTGTTGATTTTCAGAATGTCATTGTCTGACATGCGGATCCTCTGGCCTATTGTTGCTGTGGGTGAGAGGGGACTGATGGTGTCTTGTCCGTTCTTTGAAAAGTCCTTTGCTCCGTAATGCATAACAGAGGAGTAGTCATATGGAACATTGAGGTTGTTTGTCTCAAGAAGGTGAAAGTTACTTTCTCGTCCGCTCAAGATGTTTTCATAGTTGATCTTGATGTAAATGTCCCTGTCGGTTCTACTTTGCTCGTGCCAGAAGCCGAGTGCGTGAATGAGCTCGTGCTGAATGATGCCATTATTAATGCATCCATAACCAAGAGATAATTCTTGAGTGGCCCCACTTCTTCCAATTAGTGACCAACATCCTACTTTTTTCACAATGCTGATGTAGCTGGTCTGGCCTGTGCGGAGAGCAAAGCGAATGCAGGTGCTCAAGTGGAAGTCATCGATAGCATTTTGAATCGCGACCTTTTCGGAGCTGCTAAAGGCATCACTTATGGTGTACGGAACTTGAACCACCTGATTTGACTTTGGCCATCTGCAGTTTACACAGACTCTTGCATTCCTTGTTCTTGGGACCATAACATCTCCTTCAGTCAAAAGGTTTTCCACTGGACTGTTTGCAGAAAGGATCTGTGAACTGACTGCCAGGTTATCTAAAAAAAAAAAAAAAGATTTATTCAAATTAAATTTATTCAAAAGAAAACAATGTCAATCTTTCTATATCATAATATCTGAAGTACAATGAAGTACAATAAGACTCTTCACCTTTTGTTGTTCCTCTGCAGTAACTGAAACTCCAGCGATGATCTCTGTCAATGAATTAAAGCATTGTTATTATGTTATGTCTTTAGAAAGCTGATGTCCAATTTACTAACTTAATCAGTGAGAGACCTGCTCATCTAAAAACATAGTAAATTAAATAACTGTTGGAAGTAGAAATATGGCCATATGACCATTTGTTATCAGTGTACTTACCCATTGTTATTCTTATTGTGGGTCTGGACACCTGTTAGTAAGTTGTCTCCAGGGACATGCCAGTTGAAGTCTTCATTCCAGTAGTTGACCATTGGGGTTTCCCGGCATTCGAATGTGATCAGTTTTGGTGAAGTGCAGCAGAGGAAAATCCATCTGAAACAATATCAGATAAACTCATTATATTCAAAAACCATTGAGAATCAATCACTTTTTTTAAAGCTAAAAAAGTTAATTAATTAATCAATTGCATTCAAACAAAAAAAACACGTGTTTGAAAATAGACTCATCATCATCTTAAATTCTTAAATCAATTTACCATACTACACTATTCAAATTTTAATGCATAATTTCAACAGGCTACCCACCTTCTGTCTCCATGTGAGCCACTGTAATCGCTGTAGACGCCAGCAACCACACCATTGGCCCGGCAATTGAAGCTGATTTCTTGCTCATATAACTTGTAGAAACTTGACCAGTAGCACTGCCTGGTACCGTCCAAAGCATTCAGTTCTGTATTGCATTCAATTTTCCATTGGCGATCACTGTCAGTGTGGGAGCTATGGTATAAATCAAAAGGATTTAATGGAAGGATCAGCAGTACCAGTGAAATATTCAATGAAAAGGTATGTTACTAAGTTACAGTTCTATATGCAGATTGTTTGTTGCTATATATACAGTTTTATCTTCATATGGAACTTACCTTTTAATCTGAGACACAACGTGTCTATAAGGACATACACGAAACAAAACACCTTCGGGATTGTTGTCATAGACCTGTGCTCTGTATCCAGCTGCACAAAAGATGGAGAAAAATGGATTAATAATCAGCATCATCACCATCATTGTAACCACAGCATGCTCATTTTCTTTAGTGTCTATTAATGTGTCTATTAAAAGCGTTCTATGCTCTTACCCGTCAGAAGGACGAGAACCACGATGAAGTTCCACATGATGTGTTGTGCGATGAGGTTGCTGTCTCAGTGTTGTCACTGCTGTGCCACCTGTGAGTAGACTGCCTTCTCTGCCTGCGACTGCTTCAATTTAAATGCTTGCGACAAGGAAACTATGACGTTGCGTCTTCACCTGTGGGCGTGTAAACTGGCTTCTAAGACCACGTGTTTTTGTTTCCTCATACCCATCAGCATGTTGCATGTTTTTCTTCTCAGGAACAATGCAAAAACACTTATATCTTCTAATGACTTGAATATTTACTCTAACATGTTCCTCATAACTGAGAATATTTACCAGAACCACGAGATGTGTAATTAAGAATAATTTTTAAAAAGTAGCACCAGACTACATTAGTTGTAGGAAGACATGTTATTCACTACTATTACTACTTCTGACTATTACTACTACTGCTAATAACAATAATAATAATAATAAAATGAAATAAATAAAATAAAAAAATAAAAATCAGGAAATCCCTGATGCCAATATTTTATCAAATGCTTACATTTATGTCAAGACAACAACAGTAGAATGGTGAGACTCATTCACCAACAAGTCGGGTATATGAATATGATATATGAATATTACCAACAATGCAATAAGAGAGATTCATTCAGATGAAGCAAAAAAAAAAAAAAAAACTCTTTGGTTTCCTTACCCCCCCCCTTTTTTTAAAGCGTTAAAGTACAGAAGAATACAATAGTCTGAAAACAAGCTAAATAACAACAATACATATAACTTCAGTAGTTGAAAAAATCATGTATGTATATATTGGAATATAAATATTCCATTGGAAGATATCCAGAATTCACTCGCTTTGCAGTATTTCCACAGGTGAGTCAGTTAATGAGACATCCGGTTGTTACCATTGAATAGTGACAACACTGCAATCATGAAGTGTCGTGTTGAGTGTTTGTCACATTTTTTGGCACGTCTAAATCATTTAGACAATGATTAATGTGTTCCGGCAATGACATGCCCTGTTGCTATTTTCAGCCCTCTTCTGTTAAAATATTCCACTTGAAATGGTTTAAATAATCATATAAAATCAAATTAAAAGACTATTTCATTTTAATGCCATATCACATGCTCTAATAACTATGGACAGTTAAAATCAGCTAAAATAGCAGCAGCCCCATACACAAATGTAATTTATGACATTACACACATATACACATACATACATACAATGGTGATGTTTCCATATATGTTAACTAAAAGGGTATTCGTTATTATCACTTATATTTATCCTCTGGATATGTGTATAAGTGTATAACATATATGACATACCCATAATAAAATTTGTACATGTGCATATATTAAATATATCTATATGATTAACTAATAAAATAAATATCTATATAATATATTAATAAAACATGTTGCGAACATAAAACAACATCACCATATGTTAACAATATATATTTGATTTATATGTGCAAGTTTATTGAAATAATATAAATATATGCTTATGTATACTTTTTTAAAATTAATTTATCAATATATCAACATATATTGACAGGCTTTGGGATGGATATATATTAATGTAATATATGTATATATGACTTTTCTAAAATGCTAATTTGGTGCCCGATGTCGAGGTCAAGTACAAGCAACAGTTTCATCATCAAAAATCTGAAACTGCCATGCATGACATGGCAGTTTCAGACACTGCTCATCAATGGCCATCAAACTTTGCAAAACAAAAGAGCCAGAACCATGACACACATAAGTGTAAGTAATAGTGCAGCTTCAAAACAACAAGGAAGTCATTGTCTGTCTTGCTAAATATTATTCACAGTCAGTGGTGAGTCATTCTGGGAAATCTACCATGACATTCAGGTGAGAGTCATTTATTCATTAAAAATATCTTCCTGATGGTTCATTATTTTACTTGGTTTCTTATAATTATTAGGCCACTGATAATTATGGTTAAACGTAGCCGCTGTGACCTCGCCCATAGGTTTCTGTAGAACAGTTGAGTGGGCAGCTCCGCTGTTATATAAACCCCCCCCCCAACTAATCAAAAGAAAAAATAAAAGAAATTAATATTCACACATTCATTCTCAGATGGAGTATGGATTGTCAAACATGACATGCAAAAATACCACAAAGACAATATTTTATATTTCATTCCTCATTGGATGTTTGTGCATTAAAATGTATATAGTAACAGGACGAGCTAACAACTGTATGCCCAGCGGAGCTCATCTCTGCATCCATCAGTCTTAGGTTCAGGTCAGGGGGCTCCTGCTGTTCTCACTTGTTCCGTTACAGCCCTCTACTTTCTTCACCAGCAGAAGCCTGCATGGTGTTGCATCAGGATTGGCTCGGGCAGTATATCATTTTGTAAATTTGCAATGCACCCCCCCTGCAGAGGACAGCAAGGAAAACTTATAGAGCTATTTCAAAAGGTGTAGACTGTAAAAATAACCAAAAAGACGACAGTAGAGGTGAGGATGGAGTTGTTGACCGCTTGTTTCTCCCATTAAAATGAGGTTAGTAGGAATGGATGTGGGTCACTGCAAACAGTTCCTAACCTGCTAATGTGAGACATTTGTTGGAGAAAATGCCCTGCATATTTTTGACTTTTCACAGAATTGGTGTCCTGCTGATTAACAGCAGAGCTCTGGGCTTTGTATTTTTTATTATTATTATTGAGATTATTTTTGTTGTTATTTTTATTTCTTACTCATGGAAAAATAAAAACTTATTTACTATTAAAAGTGAATTATTCTTTTCATGAATTAATCGCATCTTGTTTTCAGTTGGGGTTTGATAAAGAGGTTTTTTGCCTCGGGGGGGAGTATTTGATGGAGTGATGCCAACACAATGGCTTCTAAAAACAGATTCATCAGACAGAGGGAGTGGATGACTGGAAAGTCCAAACAGCTTTGTCTGCCAGGTAAGCATGTTTGTGTGTGAGTGTGACACATTTATGCCTTTGTGGTTTGACTGTGTCTGTGTGTGCAAAAAAGAAAAAAAAGGCAAACCGGCACTCCTGCATGCATGCATGCATGCAAACACGTACTGTCCTAATTTCGTGCAAGCTCGTGCATGTCTATGTGCCATGTGCAGGCTCTCCCTGCTGCTGCTCCGCTCGCACACGTTTCTTTGTGAGAGCAGTGAGGAAGAATGGGCGAGAGGGAGGATTTGGGGGGTATTGGAATACCTAATACAATGAAAAGCCACTTTGCCTTTTGTTTGCCTTGCATGACAGGGAACAAAGCTAGCCACAAGTGGGGCTTAACATTCCATTTGGCTGAAGGAGAGGAAGGCAGCTGGCACGACGGAAAGGCCACGCTGTGGATCTGTGGACAGGCCAAAAGGGGTATATTGGGTTTCTGAGGCCACTAGGAATGCATGGGAACTAGACTGGGTAGGAGAATGGATGGGGGGGGGTGGGGGGGTGGGGGTGGGGGTACATTGAGGCTGGGAGAAGGTTGCCGATTTGTGGGGTGAAAGGAAATAGGGTAGCAAAATTTTCAGTGGTGGCAAAACTTCAGTGGAGCAAATAACGTCAAAGATAACAAACACTGAACTGAACATAATGAATGTAGGGCTACATAAATGTAAAACACCAGAAAAATCTGTTTGATTTCATGCAACACTAACTATGGCAAACCTGCTGCAACTGAGTCATAATACATTGGTAACTCCTGTTAGGGTGAGCCTACCTGTCACTGTCTGATTTATTTCTTATTATTTCAGCAAGTGTGAAGTCCAGGCAGGTCTTTAGATACTGTGTCTCAGATACATCCAGTCTCACAGTCAGTCCAAGTCTCATTCCCAATTCCAACTTTTATACAACATAAATATGCAAATATGTTTTGGAGGAAACATAATACTTTGTTTTTTTATCGTCACAACCAGGAAATCGGAATTAATTTAAGTAAAATCTTCATTAACAGTGTATTTCTACAATAGCCACTCATAGCAACTCAAGTTTGACGCTCAGACGCTCACGGCACTTGGTTCAGGTTAGAGAACCTACCCCTCATATGCCCTTGAGCAAGACACTGGGCTGAAACTTGCTCCTGATAAATGGGAATGGACTGATGCCTCTACTAGATGAATGTAATATGATGTACATGGAAGTAAATATCTGCAACATCACGTCTCTACAGATTAAATATTTACTTGAAACACCTGCAACTTGAGCTTATTTAAAAAATAATTATGTTTGTTACCTCATGTGGTAAAGACACAGTGTGTGTGTGTGTGTGTGTGTGTGTGTGTGTGTGTGTGTGTGTGTGTGTGTGTGTGTAAATACAAAGCCAGAGTAGCCTGCTGTGGCTCCCATTACACACACACAGCCAGATTAATGGACCTCAGCCTTTTGTGTTAAGGTTGAGGAATGTGCTCCCATTTCTCACAAATAAACACAAATACTCTCACACACACACACACACACACACACACACACACAAACACACACACACTCACACACACACACACACACACACACA